TGGATCCGGATTAGTGCGAGCGTGAAGGTGGGGGAGGACTGTGGTTGCCCCTTAGCCTGTGGTTGCGTGTTTGTAAGTCTACAGCCAGCGCACCTAGCGGAAGTGAACTGAAACGTGCATGGTAACACACAAACACACAAACCAACACTCAAAAACTCGCCGGTGAAAACATAACCCCCGCCATGCCCCTGGCGGAGGTAACTATAGTCCGAGTCAGGCCCGGTCCTGAGGCGCACTAAATTGCAGCGAGAAACCGAGCTAAATTAGCACAGGTAGACGGCACATGCCCGAATTTTAGCCCGCCTCTGGCCCGAATTGCCTATATACACACACAATTTAACGCGTATTAAGTACGGGCTAGTCTTAGTACCGGATATCTTCAACGAAAGATCGCTTCAACCGTATTCATTTCTCACCTTACTCTATCTGCGCCATTGCGCTGTTACCTGCGCAATTATGACGTGTATGACTTACATACAGCATCGCAACAAATTTCACAAAATCGATTCAATATATAACAAACACTGCAGATAATAGGTAAACGCTGCTTGAAATTTTTGCATTACTACTACATAGGTCGAAAGAAATCAGCACGATTAATTCATGCGGCCAGAAAGAAACAGCTGCTAAATTTGTAAAATGAGATGTAAAAATATATAGAAAAACAGTACCAAACATTCTTGGTAGAAGTGGAAAACATTAAAACGTTCTAAAAAAAATTCTCTCTAAAAGCGTCCTGCTCTATTTTTCTTAAACTCTTTCACCATTTTGCTCAGAACGTCAAGTCCTTCGTAGATGCCTTCTCCTGTAATGGCGGACGTCCCCTGAACATGCCATTGACTCTGGAGGGATTTCACGTCAAGTTTCGTCATGATGTGAGCAGGATCCATTGCATCTATACTCCGCAACAGACGTAACATGTGATTATGCACAAACGCTGCGGATGAGTGATTCTAGCCTTTCGACGCTCTCTGTGCACGCAGGATTCACTGCCAAACGCGCTCGCGGGTTTAGTGAGTAAACTTCAATACGCATGCATACTTACATTGTTACATTATTATATTATATTGTAATACACTTACCCTGGATATCTTGTTTGTTGGCGAACACGACGATGGGAACACCAATCATGTCCCGATCTGTCATCATTCTGTGTAACACGTTTTTCGCTTCATCAATTCTCTCCGGATCAGCGCTATCGACTACATAGATCAAGCCTGAATAGTAAAACAGAGACAGGCGCTATGTAGAGAGAGAGAGAGGGGGGAAGAGAAAGAAAGAGAGAGAGAGAGGGGGGGAAGAGAGATGATAGGGAGAGCGAGAGAGAGAGAGAGAGAGAGAGAGAGAGAGAGAGCCAACCAACACACCACAATTAATTGCATCTCGTTAAATAGTCAAAATAACGTAACATTTCTACATAAAATTCAGTGCCTTTATTTAGTTGAAAGTATAGATAGTTGTATCGAATAGACCTATCGTTTCATATCGAAGATTCCGGCAGTACTTGTGAATACCTATTATCTGTGTAGTTATTATTCTAAACCTGTATCAGCGCAGGTGATTTACGTTATTAATCAACTTATTCACGCGGGGATATATCTGAATTACTGTACGAAAAACATTTCGAATTCGCAGTAACAAGCTTAACGACTAACAAGAATCAACCGTATTGGCCAAACCGAATGTCTCAATGGATTGTCCAGATGATGCGGTCGTATAGTTCGGCAGCATTGAGTAATCCAAGTAGAATGCTTTGTTCACTGCGAATGCTTGTTCTTCTATTTCGAAGTGATACTGGCATAATCTTGACATACTGATATGTAATCGTACAGTTTAACATCGATCTGGCGGCAGTGTAAAGGCAAACTAGAGCCGATGCGGCAGAACGGGCAGCAAAGCTATCGAGAGATTCATTTGAAGTCAGCAGCGCTTGTTCTCACAAACGTGTAAACAAGAAATAATAAATCATGTATTATTAGCTCTTATATGGAATAATATATAGTTGGTGTGTGGTGTGTGCGTGTCGTGCGTGCGTGCGGCGTTGCGTGCGTGGTGCGTGGCCGTGTGTGTGTTGTGTTGTGTTGTTGTGGGTGTTTGTTGTGTTTGTGTTGGTGTTGGTGTTGTCATGTGTGTGTGTGTGGTGTGTGTTGGTGTGCTGTTGCGTTTTAGGAGGATCCTAATTTCTGCCAGCCCAGTTTAATCTCGTTTCTCGATTGGCAGCATCAGAAGTCATAGACGAGAGAGGTCCGATTACGTGGTAAACTTTGTGCTGTTATTTAGTTGTGTTCTCGCTGTTAAGCGCTCGCAGTTCGGCATTTGGCCACAAAATGTTCTTGACGCGCGAACTATTAATGACAACGTTTTTATTTCGCTGATCTTTCGTAGGGCGATTTCAAATGATGGGACAACTAAAAGACATAGAACAAGGCGAAAGAGAGAGAAGAGACCGAGAGCCCCCGCAGAGAGAGGAGAAGAAGAGACGACGAGAGAGAGAGAGAGAGAG